GGAGGAGCAGAAATTCACTTGTGGGAGATGGAAAGGCCACTACTGATCCCATTTCACAGCACGAGCTGCTGGTCCGAAGGCTGGAGCTCCTCTGCCGCAGAGTCACCACAAGAACACGTGCACTCTTTGGCTTAATTCCCCTTCACAAATATGAAAAAGTAATTTCATTGTAAAAGCGGATCTAGAGGTTGCTTTGGGGACTAATCTCTTTAAAGAGCATCCCCACTTCACTGACCCAGGTTGCCTGTTATAAATCAGCACTCGCTCTACCCCTCTCAGGCACGACTCGTTTCTCTCCCCCTGCCCTCCCTCCAAGCTGGGCTGATCTTGATGCAAGGCAGCAGCTATCCGCTCCAGTACTAGGGAAGCCAGCAAACTCCAAGACCTCACTCTGCAGAATTACAGTGTGGTTTAACTTGCCAGAAGCTTAAATATTTACCTGTCTTCATTAATTCCACACATGCGGACCCTTTCATTGCTCATCCAGCTATGAACGTTGCCATACAGGGGAGTTGCAGAAAGCATGACGTCTTCTTAAAAATCACCACTTTGCTCCACGGTTTTATATTCTGTTTAAAAAAAAAAAAAAAAAGAAAGAAAAAAAAAAAGTTGAGCAGATTTGTCTAGGAGGAAGTGCAAACATGACGGCGGAGCAGCCAGCCTCCCTCCGGGTAATTAATAATGAATGCAGGATTGGTGCGGGGAGTGAGCTGCCTACGTTAACCGCTAAGGGAGATACCCAGCAATAAAGGAGCAAATTGAGGGCATTTATAGGTCAGAGGAGATGGATCTTTTCCCCAGCGCACGTCCAGAAAATTAAGAATCATTCCAGGCTATCGACAAATAAAAGTTTCTCCACAGCGTTTCGTTTCCACAAGGAACGACTCAGACGGCCAAGTACGAAACCAGTCCCCAAACTGTCATCTCACACAGGCTGAACCAGAGGTGGGAAACCCTGCAGGCCTGGGAGAACACGAGAACTACCCAGAGGCACTCACAAAATCCCTGCACTGGGCACACACAGGAGCAGGAGAGCAGGACAAGAACCACCACATACCGCGTGTATTAGCTACGCTGATCACTGAGAAGGCTTTTACTCCAGGACGTAAAACTGAAGAGACGCCGCTACAGAAGGGATCTAAATAAAAAACTCCCCATTAGCGTCTGCACATGACTAACTTGGAGAAAGGGGTTAAAAATAGTAAGTCGGTTGGCGAGCTCCCCACCCCTTGATTTGATTAAGAGCAGAGCCCTGGTGGCTTCTGCATCGGAGCTGCCGCTGGTGCTGGTGCTGGTGCTGCTGCTGCTGCTGCTGCTGCGAGTGCTTTCAGTAATTCAATGATGCCTGCTCACTCCAGGGAAAGAAATCATTAGCGGGCTCGCTGGAGAAGTATTAGCAGTCCAAGAGGATCCGGCGCCGTGTGCAGCCGGAGAGGCAGGTGAAAGGTAACCACATTTTCGCGTCCAGCGGCAGAGAGGGAAAGGCTTTTCCTCCCCTCTACCTTGCCTAATGCCACCTCCGCTCGCATTAAATTCTAGTTTGCTGCATGAGCGAAGTGTCAGGACAAGCTGCGTTTTATTAACAGGATTATCGCGGCGCATGATTTATTCCAGTGCAAGATTTTAATTGCTCTTCGGAGGTCGAGTCGTTTCTTTTGACTGAGCTTCAGCCTGCATCCTGCTGCTAAATGCTGGGTTAATAAGTAGGGGGAGCCTTTAATGCACAGGATATCCCTCAGCTCTTCCTCTCTCACAAAAATAGAAGCCTTTAAGCAGGAGGCATGATACTCTTTTTACACACACACACACACACACACACACAAGCCAGTAACGGGTGATTGACCACTGGGAGTTTAATGCCTAACGTCTCCCAAAGCATCCATGCTTCCCCAGCAAACTCATTTCCTTTGTCAGGCTACAAAATATGCAAATGATCACTTTGGCATTTAATGGGGAAGAAGCCCAGATTGGGCCTTTAACACAATAGTTCACACACGTTCAGAGAGGTTTAAGAACTGAAACGGCAGGAAAGCCTTGTTCCCCAACACTTTTTTCTCCCCTCAGAGAGGCCTTTTGTGCAAAACTCCACGTCTGGAACAAATGTATATTAATGAAACAGCGTGTTGACTCTCCTCTCTCCACAACGGTTAGCGTTCCCTAATGAAGTCCGCAAAAATCGCTGCGAGGAAACAAAAATTCGCGGAGGTTAGATACCGCGCTATCATTCAGAAGGAGTTATTTCACTAGAAAGACGTTTTCTGGACAGATTTACTGGTTTCCAGATGCGCTGCTCGTAATGTTTTCAATAGAGGCGGCAGCAGCATGGAGAGAGTGATTTGGGGTTTTACGTAAGGTTAGTAGCCACCCCGTGGAACGGGCAGGGCTCGGAGGAAAGGGCCTCGGGGGAGCACAGCCCTGTTCCCTGTGCCCCCTTCCCTCTGGGGCCAACTCACACTGCTCCTCGCAGGGTTTGCTGCGCCTGGTTTCCTCGGTGGAAGTGTACCATTAAGATAAGGCGCAGTGCCTGAATTAGAGCCCATCAACCCCCTGACATGT